GGGAACATACACATTTTTATCTGCAGAAAGTATCCCAAAAAATTGGCTAAAAAAAAAAAAAAAATTGCAATAATACAGCTTGTGCGCAAAGTCTAGACAAGAAGCTAAATCACTCTCTTTTCTTTGGTTCTACAACTCTTGTTTAAAAAGCTCTAACAGTTTGCAAAATTTTTCCCCACCTAAATTAAGCTTATTTTTCTTTCTGAAGAACTGCTGAGTGTTTGCCTGCGGGATTAGAAGTGGAAGGCACTGATGCTTTGTGGATACTTTGGGGAACAGATAATCTTCTGGCTCAGGACACGGGGTTTGTTTGCCAGATTCCCCAATTCTACAGTTTATTTTTGTTTAATGCATCCCTAAGACCTTGATTCAAGAAATTTCTGAAAAATAAACAAACAAAACACCCAAACAACTCCCCAAATATATCTCCATCATGCTACTACTAATTATTCCCATGCTGGGAACCAGTAGTTTTGGAAAATCAATGGCAGTCTAGAGCTGTTTTCAATAAACAGTTGTGGTGATTGACTGCTTGCAGGCCACACCAGCTCCCCCTTCACCTTGTCAGCAAGGGCTCATCATGTTACTCACAGGCACAAAAACTGGCCAGATTCCCAATCTTGGTGTAAGGAGCTGCTAATTAAATAAAAATGTTCATGATTAGAAAGAAACAGCAATGAAAAAAAACTCACTAACATACAATTCTTGTCCAGCCCTGCTGCTCATGCTGCAAAAACTCTTATCTCTTCCTCTTTACTAACTAGGTTCAATGAAGACCAGGAAGAAAAGTTACCAAGAACATATTTATTAAAAAAAAAAAAAAAAAAAAAAAAAAAGCGCCAAAATAAGAGTCTTTGGCTATTGGATATATGAAGAAAAAGATTCACTGGGGAAATCTAAACTTTGGTTTTTTTACCCCTCAGGCCTTTCTCACCTGCTTCATCCATTCCTATTATATAACTACATATACATTACAATATGTATTTATAGTACACAACAATGCTGACTTTGCTGAGGATTTAGTCATTACCATAAAACTATGGGATATAGTTTTAACAACTAATATGCATATCAGAGCATCCTGAACATTTCGAAAGCCTGAGTTGAATCATGGAATTCTTAAGGTTGGAAGGAACCTCCAGAGATCATCTAGTCCAAGCCCCCTGTTCACACAGCGTCACCCAGAACATAGGGGACAGGCTGCATCCAGGCGGGTTTTGAAGATCTCCAGAGAAGGAGACTCCACAACCTCTCTGGGCAGCCTGTGCCAGGGCTCCGGCACCCTCACTGATAAGAAATTTTTCCTTAAGTTCCTGTGGAACTTTTGGTGCTTCAGTTTGTGGCCATTTCATCTAGTTCTGTCACTGGCCACCACTGAAAAGAGGCCGCCCCCTCCTCCTCACTGCCTCCCTTGAGGGATTTCTAGACACTGCTCAGGTCCCCCCTCAGCCTTCTCTTCTCCAGTCTGAACAGGCCCAGCTCTCTCAAGCCTAAAGAGCTGCCCACTCCTTGGCTGCCTGGAAAGGAAGCAAGGCATTTCCCAGAGCTTCTACCGAGCACGGACTTCCTGGCATCTGCTAGCAGAGAACAACTGAGGACAGTCCTTGCCACCTCAGCAGGCAACAGGAATGCTAGTTTCTCAACTGTGCCTGGACGCACATTGCTTTGCAATGACTGGCTACCAAATAAATAGCCACAGGGCGCTGAGCTTTCCTTCTCATCTCAGCTTCACATATGCTAAAAATTCATACGCCTGCCAGAACCGCTCCCCAGAGAAGGCAGTCATTTACACCCAGCTCTGACTTAATCCGGCCCTCCAGGGACAAGACATATCTGGTTCTAATTAAGTAATATTAATATACTTCTCTAATTAGGTAACATGGACAAACAGCCAACCTCATAAGTCTAGGGTACGTGTTAACTGCAACCAGGTTTAGACTCAAGTCTCTCTCAAGACTCAAGTCTCATTTCAGACCTACACGCTTAAAGTAAAAACAGTATTTGCTCCACATTCTTGACTTCAAAATTTTTTTTTAAGTGCCATGTAGTAGAGCGTCTCAGCACACAAAATGCACCTTGCCCCTATTAATGGCAAAAAAAATAAAGAATTTCAAAACAAGTGATGCTGAACTGTTATTGGGAGAAAAGAAAAAAGAAGAAAAAAACAAAAACAAAAAAAAAACAAAAAAAAAAACCAACAACAACAAAAATCAGAACAAGGCCTTGCCTGGTAATCGGGGAACTAGCTTCACCCTAGTTAAGTCCACAACTATGCTTCTTTCCAAAACACAATGAGATCCTGAATTCAATTTTTAAGTACATCAATACATAACAGTGGAATTGGCGGCTGCAGTCTGTGAGCTTTTATTGCTGATCTTATCTGCTAATCATTACCATCAATAGCTCCTGCTGCCTAAGAGGCTGCTGCTCAGTTCTCCATGCAACAGGGAGAGATTTATCTTACGAACGCTTGTAAAGAAGTCAAGTTCAATTAAGGCTAAGGTTCTTGCCAAGTGAGATTTGTCTGCCGAAGTCTCTCATAATTCTTCCTCAAAAGTAACATCAGACACAAACATTTCTGCTCTTTTCCTTTCCCAATATGTTTATTGCTACCTCTTGCACAGGACAAAGTGAGAGACTAAAGGAACATACACCTCTGGTTTCAAACAAGCAAATGGCTTGCCTTAGGATATGGAGTTTAGGGGCTGAAGCCAAAACAACACTCGTTTCACTTCAACTTCAATACTTCACTATAGAGAGGGAGCTCAGAGACCTCTCTGCATTGCATTCTACAGAGCAACACCTGGTGCCGCCAAGAGCTTGCCCGAACCCTGTATCCTTCCAGGATTTGAAGCAAGGAACACAGGGACCTATGAGCGTCTCCTCTCCTCCAGATCTGCCCCTCACAATTGGGGTGGTGGGGGGAGGAATTTTCTAACTGCAGGACAAAGATTAAAAGGTTATGGTAAGGTGGAGCAGCAGCAGTGCGGATCAGGGTCCTGTAGAGCTGGACAGGGAGGTTAGCAGGGTGGCTCTTTGGGGTTGAGAAAACAGAATTTGGCCTGTCCTCTTCTTTCTTCCAAGGTCAACAAAAACACATTTTTCATCACAGAAAGCCTGAAAAGAATTTGCCCCTGGGAATGATAGAAACTCCAGCTGCAAGAGGGCTCAGACAGGATTACGKGCAGAGCAAAGAGGTCAAGCTTTCGTCTGTGTGCAGTGGCACTTTCCGAAGTAAAAGAAGTAATTTTGCTGTGGAAGGCATCTGAAAGAAGCAACTGAAGCCAAAGGTCTGCTATAAACACAGGGATCCTCGTACTTGCACCAAATAGGATAGTATTTGACATTCCAACTAAAAGAGCTTGGCAGCATCCCAGGTCRCCAAAACCACACAGGAACTTCACAGGTTGATACTATGGACAAGGGGGTATTTGTCAGCACCCAGACAGTTACCCATGATGAAGCTCAAGACACCCACACTGCTTGTTCTGAGATCTACAACTCTGACCTCTCTTCATCCCTTCAAGAAAATTCAGCAGAGGCATCACCTGTAATTATATTCCAGCCCCACAGTGCTTTGGTACTTCCATCCTCTCCATAAAATAAATATCCTCTGCAAGGCCCCTTGCTGCTGTTCTACAGAAAAGCTATTAGCCAGATGGGATACAAACCCAACYTGGAAACACACATTCAGTGAAGGGCAGTGAAGCTGAGAGGCAAGAGCAACTCCAGCTACAAAAATTCGTGTTCCAGTTGCTCTGAAGTGGTTTTCCTAACCTTGATTAAACAGAGACCCTGCTGTCTCTTTGGTCCAATGAAAGAATTTTAGGTGGTGTAGGATGGCTCAACTGCTTATCCTAATTTTCTTTGTAAAAAAGAACAAGCTGAGCAAGATGAGCTTTCCCTCCTGCTCTGCCCTGGACATCAAATTCTATGGCATTTTCCCAAGGAGCAAACATGAGCCATCTAGCACTTCTTTATCTTGTCTCTGTTCCAYTCCAAAATTTCTTAAACCTACACTTAATGTACCTATAGGCATAACACAATTTTACGAGAAAATAACTTCTAAGAACCTGAATTATTTGGCCTCTGTTAACACTAGAGTTTGACAGACTGGTAACAACTTGCAAAAAAAATCTCCCTTTTTCAACCTTTAAATATTCTTTCAGAACTGCTGAATGTCTTCTTGCTCTTCGACTTTGAGTAAGCACAGAAACGGGATATGACTTAACCATTTTGCAAACTTCCATCCATTCCACCCTTAGATACCTCATTTGTAAGAGCAATACTGAATTCTACAAAATAAATACTCCATGGACACAGAGGAGATTCAGATACTGAATGGATTAAATGGCTATAATCTCTAAATTAAGAAATACTGCAAAACACAGAGCCGTTCCCCCCACCACCTTCCAGGAAATATATCGGCAGGACTGGGCAGCTACAGGCATGCGCCAGGGAGTTACCTTCCTTGAACTATTATAAACTCATCTGGCTTGGACAGTCCCTCCATGTCTTGGACCTCTAAAGCTCCCACGTCTCWGAAGTGCCAGAGTTAGTCACCAAGAGGGCCACAGTCCAATAGGCAATAACAGTGGAAACTCTCCTCACTCCCAGTCCTCTCACCCACACCTCCAGGACAGGAGTGAGCCAAGGCTCCCCTGCTCCCCGTAACTTTTCTTGGCTGAAGCCTGTTCCAATTTCACCCTGCAAGCACCTGATATGAGCAGATAACCAGGGAGGGGCCAGAAAGCTGTACAGGGCTGCCGGGGTGGGGAAGGTAAACAGAAGAAAGTATTTAAGATGCTCTGAAACAAACTCCCAAAGTTCACAGACTCCTACAGGAGGGGACTGAAAAAAAGCCACTTCCTCAAGCTCCACCTTCAGAGGCTAACTTCATTGGAAGAGAACTAGGCATCAGTTGGCTGTAGCACTTACAGAAACTTTCATACCTACCCCAGCTGCATTCAGTTGGAAGTTTCCTGTTGCTTCAAGCAAAAATGCCAGCAAGATCCACTACCCAGCTGGTGTGGCTCTGTATTATCACAGTGTCTGCGGCAATCTCTCCAGCAGCACTGCTACAGAAGCCACCTAAAAGGAGAACAGTCAATGGGAATGCCCAGTCCAAGATGACAGGCTGCTGCGATGAGATTAAAGAGCTCAGGCTGCAGGTAGCCAACCTGAGCAGAATGCTGCAGGAGCTGAGCAAGAAGCAGGAGGGCGACTGGGTGAACGTGGTCATGCAGGTGATGGAGCTGGAAGGAAACACCAAGCAGATGGAGTCCCGCCTCATCGATGCCGAGAGCAAATACTCCGAAATGAACAACCAGATAGACATCATGCAACTCCAAGCAGCTCAGACGGTCACACAAACTTCAGCTGGTAAGGAGGGAGTCCAAGCTCCCCGATGCACCTCAATCTACAAAGTGAACTAACCACTAGCTCCTAATACCAGCATGTCCCACTAATGTAGTTAGTAAGCATGCATACTAAACAGWTATGGACAGAGTATTTCTGCAGGCAGGTAATCCTGAGGAAGAAAAAAAAAAAAGTTTGACCTCGTCTGTCAAAAGTCTTAAAATACAGCTGTATTTTAATATCTGTATATCTAATAYCAGAAAATAGAAGAGCAGAACAGATGCTGCATTTGCACAGTGAGGGACTCAGTCTAACATATTTTCTGGCCACTACAGTACCAATCTGAAAAGAAAGAGAGCTGGCTTTGTCAGGGAATGGCTCTGGCAGCTACTTCCTCCGCAACAGTGGAGTCCACAGTGCTGCTGCGGTGGGGGGTTGTTAATACAATTGGAAATGCTTTCCAAACACTACTGCAAATTTGTAATCGTATCTGTATGACTATCTCTGAAACAAAGCAAAAAAGCATTATGTTATTTGAATGACAAGCCTCAAAAACTCAGTCTCAAAAGTCTCAGAAACTGTAATTGATGCTAAAACTGTAAATGTTGCAAGATGCAAATTCTCTAAGTCTAGCCAAACTGCATTTAAATTCTTCATCTTTTTTTCCCGATGGAAACCTTTACTGCATGTAGTGATTGCACAGGCCTGTATCAGACATAGAATGCAGGTGCATTCTGTAATTAAGCTAACTGCAAAAAAAAAATTGCTTAATGGCTATAAAAAGGTATCATTAAATCTTGGTTACTTTTTCTCTTAAAAAAAAATCACCAATCTTAAAATAGTACATCTTAGGTAGTTTTGTCACTGTTTATATTACGTCTTAAGCAAACAGGTTTTCTCATAATGAATTTCGCTGGAGCTGTCATAAAGATTTGGAAAAGTAAAATAGTAGACACAAGAAACTAAACCAGAAGGTAAACAGCCATGTCTCACTCTACCAGGTAAAAGCAATTTAGTCTGCAGCACACTGGAATCTGTCAGGATGGATAAGCCTTGCCTCAGCAGTTCCTCTGCCCTGAGAAGAGCAGCAGTGCTTATCCCTAGCCTTCAAGTCAGCTCCTGCACAGAGGAAAAAGGGAGGCTTGCACAGCCTGACAGATTCACTGAAGCTAAAACCCTCCGTCACAGGTGCCTGCGCCGAGCAAATRTACCCCATTTGCAAACGTAAAAGTCAAAGCGCACAACTGAAACTAGTATCTTGCAGCACACGCGGCTGTTCGGCCAAATAAGCCTTTATTATTTATGGGAAGAGCAAACACACAGTCTCATCCAGGCATGTCTCTAGATAGGAGATTTCTATGCTGATATTAAAGTAAGATATCCTTCTTCAACTTTTTACCAGTGCATGCATTGATTAAAACTAAAACCATTCAGAAACTGATTAGACCTCGGGGGAGTCATCTTCACTTAACCCACTAAGCTCTAGAACAAGCACATCTACAGAGGGGCGCTCTGTGCTGWTCAGATTCTTACTTTCTGGTTCTGATTCAAGTAGATGCTGTCTATGACTGCTCATCACTTTATCAGAGGAACTACCGAATCTCTGGTGTTTACAAGCTACCCCCTGATGAATTTCTGGGGAGTCCAGACCTGGAGGTAAGGATGTCAGTGTATTTTACATATCTTTTCCAATATAATCAAACTACTTGGAGCCACAGTACAGAGAAAACAACATACTTTTGAATTCTGATGTCCTGTGCTGTGAGTTGGCATCATTATGTAAGCAGACTTAGGGAAGAGAGAAAAGTGGTTTAGTCTTTTTTTTTTTCCCCCATGAGTTAAGCAAAGTCATGGGAAAGCAAAACAGTCTGTTCTTTAACAGGTGAAAGCTGGAACAYGGTGTGCTGTCTTTTTGAACAGCATCGAGCCGTACTGAGTCCTGATTGTAAAGACTGCATTCACTCCCATTCCAGGTGTTCTGTGACATGGAGACAGACGGAGGTGGCTGGACTATCATCCAAAGACGCAAAGTTGGCTTGACATCTTTCAATAGGGACTGGAAGCAATATARGGATGGATTTGGCAATATTCGGGGAGATTTTTGGCTGGGAAATGAAAATATCTACCGGCTTTCAAGACGTCCCACTGTTCTGCGAGTGGAGTTGGAGGTAATTAATATTTTCTCCATTTCAGCRGTAAAAATACCTTCCTTGTTCAGAGCAATTCCCTAGTAGCAAATAGAGTCTCCACTCTCCACAGAGCCAAACAATCTGGAGGAGCTGAAAAGCTTTACAACTAAAAGTCACTCTTTCATGCAGGAAAGAGTAGCTTGTGGTAGTGCATTATAAGACAAGGCTGTTGAATGCAAGAGTTGCACACCGGGTTTCTAAACCAGTATTGTTTAACACTGGTTTAATACCAGAGTAGATGCAATTTGCATATATGATACCCTAGTTACTCAAGACTTTTTCCCTTTTTATTTTCCTTAATAGAGAAGTTTCTGTAGTCCATTTCTAAGACATGTCAGAAAAATCTAGGACAGAAGCAGCATGCAGTTCACGTAAATACACAGGAAATCTTTTAGTCGCTACTCTAACAGAACCCACTCTTCACTGTTGCGTGGCAGGACTGGGAAGGCAACATACGCTACGCACAGTACAAACAATTCACCCTGAGCAACGAATTAAACAGCTACCGTCTTTTTGTGGGGAACTACACGGGCAACACGGGGCGTGACTCCCTGCGGTACCACAACAACACCGCCTTCAGCACGAAGGACAAGGACAACGACAAGTGCGTGGACGACTGCGCCCAGTTCCGCAAAGGTAAAGCCCACGCAGACGCAAGCTGCTTGGGTCATCTGTAAATTGCCCAGGGCTCCCTCTTGCTGAATAACTCGTGTCTAGGGGACAAGTCAAGGAACTAGTGACCAGTTCTGGAGTGCACACGGGAAATCTGGCAGGTGCACATAGAGCCTGACTGTATGCTATAGACATGAGCAGTTTTCAGATGAGATCAGTGCGTGTTCTCATATCCTTGATCAGCATCTCACCAACATCTCTTGGTTCCAATCTGGAAGGGCAATAATTCCATTAAATACACAGAAAATACCTGTTTTTAAAAAATGGCTCATCAGAAATCTTTTTTTTTTTTTTTTTTTTTTCCTGAAAAGGTGGATATTGGTACAACTGCTGCACAGATTCCAATCTGAATGGGGTTTACTACCGCAAAGGTGAACACACTAAAAACATGGATGGCATCACCTGGTATGGCTGGCACGGATCAACCTACTCCCTGAAAAGAGTGGAGATGAAGATACGGCCAGAGGATTTCAAACCTTAGAGACAACACATACTTGATCACATACCTACATGATACCGCAGCACAGAGGGTTGAGACCCTGATAGCTCAAAACCAGTCATTTCAGTCATCCTCCTCCTCTAGGAGACACACTAAAGCAACAGCTATATATGGGCTAGGTACACACAAGACATCAGCCAAGCAATTGATTTTATTGGGGCTCAAACTTTTCTCCTTCTCTTAAGTTTCTTTCCAAAGGGATAAATATTGTGTTAGAATAGGCTAGCAGAGAACGCTAAATACCTCCTGCACTTACAGCACCTTCAGAACACCTAGTAGGTTGCATCCAACAAGTTAGACAGGGATTGTCAAATGACAATCTCCTTGCTGCTAATTCCTCACTGTGTAGCTGAAGTATGGCCGATTCYTTCCAAGAGAGATTCATATCATACAGAAGTGACATACTGCTTTYACACCACAGACAAATAGCTTATCAGAAGCATCTTTTATACCTTTAAGTGCATAGCAAGTGACTTAACACCCCACCCCAAACTACACTCAGCTTAATGCGCCATATGACAGTACGTCTAATAGGTACCAGTAAGCAAGCGACAAATAAATCAAAACCAATAAACAAAAAGAACCCTCAAACATTTAGAAATCTTGTGCTCCTAAGCCAAACACTACTGCAGGCCAGGGAATCCATAGATATGAAAGAAAAGCTGTCAAAACATATGGACATCACTAGCATGATACCACACTGAGCAATATTAAGATCTGTTTTGAACATCCCCCAAAAGTTACCTAACATTTTACATTGACAATTGGTATGTCGTTTTTCCCTTATGTAACTCCGGGTTGAAAATTGCTGTTAAAAAAGGCTCTTCTTGCAGCCAAACCATTGCTTGAATATGTTGGAAAAGATGGTTATAGTTAATATACCTATTTTCATTCATCTTAAAGAGGGCTTAAATCTAATTTAAATTGTTCTGACTTCTGTGAAATGATAGAGGTATCTTGGGAATTGCCTTATATACGTTTCTCTATTCATACTGTAAATTCCAACTATGTGGAAATATAGTTGGCACCATCTTAACTGTGGTCTATAAAATGTTTTTTTTTTGTTGTTTCGGAACTTTTTTATTTCTAATAATAAATGTTCTTTCATTTTTAGTCCTGCCTTACTTTAATTCTTTGYGCCTTGACTTGCTTTAAAGGGATGAAAAATCTACTGTCTACAGACAAAATTAACTTTTTACCCAAATAAAATTAAATGTCTCCACCTCAGATGGAGGAGTTAACTGTTCTGTGAAATGCAACTAAGATTTATTTTTTAAACCAGGTATTTTGGTACTCAAAACACCTCTTCAGTTCTGAAACCAGGAGATGTGCCAGTGAACAGAGTGGCTGGTGGGCAGAGGTGTACAGTTATGCAATAGCAGAAATCTTCCTGAAATTATCACACACGACCTGATTTTTAAAGTGTATTCAGCCGTCTCAGGAATTTCAGTCTGCAGGCCAAGACTGAATGACACTTCATTCCAGCCTTTCTATGCCCATTATTTGGGGTCAGGATTTTGAGAACTCTAAAGGAATGAGTAGTAATTGGTCTGCATTATGAAAATGGAAAACACTTGTTTTGAAAATGGAAAATACTTGTGGCAGTATCCGCTGCAAATAATTTGAGATCGGGAGCAGAAAAAACACATCAGAAGGAGCAGAACTAATACACCACCCCATTTCGTAGGGGTAATTGCTCCTAGCAGCTGGGGGAGCACATCAAATAAAGCTGTATACTTACAACTGAGCCTTGTGATAGATACAAACCAAGGCTTGTGGCAGACAGTTGAATCCTAAGAATTGCCCACATTCATCCTAACGGCATCCTACATTGGGTATTGATACGAGAGAAGGAATTTCCTCAGTTCCTACCTGATGAGAGACTCCAGAATGGCCGGAGTGGGACCCTTTTGAAATTCCAGCTCCTTGTAGTGAAGAGCCTTGGCGTAGGCTCGACATTTTGCTGCTCTCTCGCCCAGAAGGACAATACCATTATCATCTCTCAAGGGCAGGGGGCCCTGGAGAGGAGCACATCAAAACCAGGATGAGTACAAAAACAAGGGGAAAAATACATAAATGTTTCACACACTTTTCACACAACAGACACCAGTCRGCTAGCCAGAATTAGATCAAGGTTGCCCAGCAGCCTCTCTACCTTGTCACTGTGTTCCATGAATTCTGCCAAGTTCAGCAGTGTCTGAGTGACTTCTGCAATGTCCTGAGAAGTGAGGGCCAATTCAATACTTCGGATCAGCTCATCCTGCTGGTCTTCATTCAGTTCAGACCAGCATGAAACAAAGGCAGCATTGAAGAGATCCCTGAGCAGGAAAGCGAAACAGAGAGAGAGAGATGGAGATTTGTTATTCATTAAATAAAAATTAAAAAAAAAGAAACCCTCCACAAAAAAAACTATTTAACAATGGACTTTACTTTTTATTCAGAGAAGGAAATGAGTTACATAGTGCATTTACAAGCTCACCTGCAGTGCACGGTGGTTAGTCTTTATAAAGGTAACTTTTGTACCAAATGCTTAATAATACCTACTTTTTTTAAGAACACATGCTAGCAGATACCTTGTACCATCATAGGCTAGCAAGTATTTTAGGTTATAACTGGCTCTTCACAGGGCTGAGGGCACTCTATGGCCCCGAAGAACCAGATCTCGGTAGATGTAGTGAGAGCTACTTTCACTGGACACATATATGCTCCCATCCCATACAGAGACTTATATTTTCTGTGCTCATTAGACATCTGTAGTAGCTGAGGGTTGTGTTATTGGCAAGACTTGGAGAAGGAAAAAAGCAAGATGAAAAACAGATGCAGTGAGAGCCCTTGTCACTGCCAATACTGTGGAGAACAACTCCGGAGTCAATCTGAGATGCACTTGCAGGTGTGCATAAAGAACACTTAGAATACGYCTGTCTATCTAGGAAGTGTTTACCTTCTATAATGTTATTGCTCCTTATTTCATAAATGTTAAAACGTTTAAAAAGTAGGAATGTTTCACAATATCACCCCATAACAGCAGCGGTCAGATTCCTATACAATGAGATGACAAGTGTTCATCATCAAGAAGAGTTAAACAGTCAAGCTGCTTACAGAAACTTCAATTGATTTCAGACATACTGAGTGCAGTAGAAAAACCACAGCAGCTTATTCCGTTCAGAGAAATTTTTATCTACCACAGCAGATCCCCCAAAATATTTCATACTCTGCTGTTTTTCCAGCCTCACTTTTATGTGCCTTGTGTTATTTCTAAACTAATATGCAGAATTCCACTGAAAGATTTTGTGCACATCAAGGAGCTGCCAACTGGAAAGGTTAGAAATGAAATCAAGCTGCCAACTATTTGATTTGTCCCACAGAAGGAATCACTTCTATTTAAGGAACTTAAGAGCTTTTAAGTCRCTCTATTTACTGGTTTGCAATTGCAGTTTCAAGTGGTCTGAAAGAGATAGAATTATTTACCTAGCCATGGGATTATAGGCCTGAGCCAGTGCCCAGCATGAGCGCAAGGATGGTGAGGAGGAATCTTTCAGCAGCTCYAAACTCAGGCGTCTTAACCATTCCAGCCAGTCATCTTTGGAGACTCTTCTTGCTGCTCCCCAAGCCTGTAATACAAAGCAAACCATTTCAATTACAAGGTGAACCACAATCCAAAACCAGATGAAATCCATCAGATAGCATTACTTCTTCACAGCTCCAAATCGCATCAGCTCAGATTCCCTTTTCAATTTCTCGAATGGATTATCATTACAGGATGACTTGCCGTAGTTCAGTTGCACTTCTAAGATATCTGCCCTAAATGGATCCTGTCGTCACATGTATTTAACATGATTTATTCTTCCCCTATAAATGTGCACCAACAGCTGAAGCCACCGTTGAAGAAGTTTAAAATACCTTGCGAGTTAGAATCACATTTTTTAAATTGGTTCAGACTAATCCATCCTTTTGAGTTCTTGAATTCTATATGTACTTACTCATCTAATCAGCCAGTTCTTATCTATCTAGCTCTACATTGGCTATTAAAATATGAGATAAGAGGTTTATAAGAGACAGAGGCTCTCTTAGATGTCACTAGATGTACAGAAGTTACATATTATTTCTGGCAAGCTAAATACTATTTCTCCTTTTGTACTTCACATAATGATAAAGTGTCAAGATTACTTCCYGATTCTGTAGCATCTGATATTTCAGCTGTATTTGTTTGATATTCAGCTGCTATCTGTAAAGTGCTCAACACTACCTTGACCTGTCTTATACAGAACTAGTAACAGAAGAGAGATGAGCACATTGTTTAGATATATTGCACAAAATTCTTACTTGAAATCAAATAATACCTCCCTTCAGAAGCAAACTCATCATACAGGGAGTTGCACAGTCCTACCTTCTGCAGGTTAATGGTGCTGACATGCAATTTCTTCATAGGACCTGTYTCCACAGGACCACTAGCCAAGGTTTCTCCTTGGTTGCTTCTCAACATTCGATGTTGGTAGATCAAGGGATCCTCTTCTTCATCAGCAAGAGTGTAGCCCTGCAACACATGACTCACAATGAAGACTCACTAAATACAAAAGCAGTTTTCCRCACAAGCCAAATGTGTGACAAAACCAGGACACTATTCAGTTTTACAGCTCAGTCTGGGAAAGGAACAACRGTATTTCATAATTCTGATTATTATACCTGACAAACACATGAAATCAAATCATATTTCATTTCTATCTGGCATAACTTTTAAGAAATCTTTGCTCCTACTGTTGAAAAGCAGAGAATAATATATCACTGTGGAAATACATTCCTCAAAGAAGCATAGATGCTCCTATCGCCCTCCCTAGCAGGCCCAGAACAGCAGGGTGCTGCTTGTCCATTAGTCAGATTACAAAGCAGTAATCAAATTTTTGAAATATGAAACCTCCAACAAAAAATAATGAGATAATAGGTTTCCTCAAGTCCTGACACTTTGGAAACAATAGGCAAAGTCC